CACAGTCTGAATTTCCCTTTGATCCGTGTTGTGCTCGAGGAGCCTCAATCACTCCTGTGCACCCTGCTGCTTTACCTCTCCCACAGGTGAAGGAGTGGGGGGGCTAGGGGCAGCACATCAGACGACCTGAGAGTCAGGCATGTTTGCTCGTGCTTGACTGCAGATCCCTGTATCTATGAGGGTGGCTACAACACCTCCAGCATCCAGCATGCCTTCAATGCTTCCACCATCTGGAGTGTGATGCAAACTACGATGCTGCACATCTCAGGCGAGGACTGATGGACTGAGCAAATCGCTWCAAGCATGTTTACTATCAAACTGTGACAGATCGGACATCTTCCCATCACCAGCCCATCAAAAACTTCAAGTCCCCTGTGCATTGCTGCCAAGAGCAAAATTAATTAAGAAAGTGTTCTGAGATCCWAAATGTAGAACTGTTTGTGACTTCAGAAACCACCCAACATGAATCTAAAGCTTTTTTTYCCTCCATTTGCTAGCATCACCAACCAAGAAGATATGACCTCAAGCTGTGCAAAAGGAACATCACACTGCAGCTGGCTCACTCAATTGATTTAATAATGTTAAACATTTTATTCAGCATAATTAAAAGATAATAAGTTAATTATATGTCATGTATAATTTTAAAGCTTTATTTATTTATTACTTTTGGCTGCTCTCCTCCACAGAGGTGGAGAGGACACTTGCAGAATAGATTAGTAATTGCTTTACCCCTAATTTACACTAGATGCGGTTTCGCTCCGCAGAAAATACACAATTATGATCACTGAGAGCATTTTCGCTGGCTCCACAGGGCGGCGGTGAGCGAACGGCGATTCGCCAAAATTGGAATCAGTTTTATTTTTGCAAASSGCCGGGGCTGCTCCAAAGTCAATTTACCAAGATCACGTCGYACCAACAGGAAAACAAACAAGCACAACATCCATATTTTCTAAATATTTTAAAAAAGGCAGACTAATTTTGTTGAAATCCCAGATATAATATTAAATACATGGATATATTTATACACAAATGCTGTCAAAATGTATTCTTCTGTTTGAGAAACGTGTAGCGTGCAGTGTATGTTTACACACGATACACGTGGATTTTATTTTGAAATCARAAATTTTAAAAAGACAACAGCGATGCAGTTTCAACTGTTTGGAGTCAGTCTTCCACAGAATTGATTATTTTGCTCTCACTTCCACATTTATCACTGGATTTATCACTGTGCTGCACACTGGAGCAGACCTGAGTGGAGCGGACGCTGTATAAACTGGGGTGCAAACGAACAGTAGCAAACTGTGCACCACAGCAGAACCGCATCTAGTGTAAATTAGGGWTTACACCAATTAAACCCCTTCTGACGTAACCAGGGCTTATTCCCGGCACTAAGCACCACCAAATTACTACGGCCCCTTATGCACAATTTTTAAGTAAAAAGCCAAATATTTTAGGTCTCTGACAACTTTTTCTACYAGCTTTAATGTTAATTAGCATGTTAGGGCAATAAACTATACATAATTATTTTAAAGGAAAACCTGAAATTATGAGAATTTTAATACTTTAATTACTCATTTTGTTCAACCTACCATTGGCCTCTTTAGACATTTGCCTTGTGCTCAGAAAGAGAAAATTGTTTGTGCCAACAATGCAGAAGACAATAGCAGAAGAATATAGCAAASCATTGCAGTTTTCCCAGTTTGCTGAGTACAGTAATTAAGAAACTGGCAGTTAAGAAAAACCCTAAAATGGCTGGCAGCACTGCTATAGAAGAAAATCAAATCCCTGTTTGACTATAAAAAGAAAGCTTGTAGGCTCTGAACTAATCATGCTTTTGGTTTATGTTAACGCCAGTGGTAAAGGGAATACTTTATGAGTAAAAGGGAAACAAGGTTTTGATTAAATACCAACAAAGAAGAAACGTATGAAGAAACACTTCAAAATCCGCAAATGTACACTTCAAAAAGTGAGTTAATGCCTTAATTCATCCACCAAGTTAACATCAGAAATCTGTGAGGATTGTTTTATATTGTTGAAAACAAATAAACAAAAGAAATATCCATATTATGTGAATAAAAAATATAAATGCAATCACTACACACTGTTCATTATCAGTAATAGACCCAACATGTCAGGACTTTGCCATTTTCTAAGTTTGGATGAAAATCTTAATCCAATTTTTATAGGGTTTAATAAAACAATGTACACATTATAAGGTTTGTTTTTGCTTTTTAAATAGATCTTTATATTTGTCTTCCTCACAGATGCACAAAAATCTTTATCTCAGAGAGCAGAAAACAATTGAAGTGAAAAAAGACAATATTTTCTTTGTTGCAATTATAGATTTTGTAGAGGTTTTTATGTATTGAGCAAAAATAAGGAGTGTGATGTGYAACTGCACGGCTGAGAAATGAAAGAACTCAGGTGCCTCTTGGGTTCATGCTAAGCTGATAAGAATATCAAAGACCTGTTCATTAAAATTCAATCTGAAGCAGTTTTAATTGGTTTTAATCAAAGTTTGCCTTCAAAGTTACTTTGTTTACAGAACTTCTTGCCAGATTACATAATTTTGTTGATTCCATTTTCCATAAATTTGTATGTATATCATTTGATWTTTTTTTCTGTGGCCTTGGCAATGGATTTGTTAAGAACTTGTGATCTAAGTCACTTTTTTGTGCTTTGTTCTTGATGAAAGTAAATGATAAAGTTATCCCCATTTAATTTAAGTTCTTTATGTTCTCTCATGTTTGCCAGATTTAAACAAAAAGCTCAGTTGTAGGATACAAATTGACATGACTATGTATGGTTTGCATACTTATTATACTGAGGCCAAGTAAATTAACATTAATCCACCTCATAATTAAAATCTCATAGAGGGAGATCTACACTGT